CAATAACTTTCTACTACATTACTTATTTCTCCCTATTTTTCACCCTCTTTGCCCTTTCCTTAGAAGTGTTTGAGACAAAAATGGCATTAGGATCAAAACTCCTGACTCCAAGAACAAATACCTGCTGGAAAGCAAGAGGGCATTATAACTGGACAGTGGTCCCAAGTTCTTTTCCACTTCCCTTTGTATGGAAAAGAGGAAAGGGACTGAGTGGCTCAGAAGTTGGTCCATGCAGACAGCAATGGGAGTCCTCATTTATTTCTTCATGAAATATGCATTGAGCACCCACTGTGAAACAGACCGTGTGATGCAATAAAGCTGCTGCCCTCAGAGCCTTGAGATTCATATAGCTCTATAATGCATCATGCTAGGGACTTGTTTTTTTTTGTTTTGGTTTTTTTCAATACTGGCTTCACAAATCGTGAAGTTGCTCAAAAAATATGATGGAATCTAGGTAATAATTATCCTCTTGCTATTTTTTGAATGAAAATCTCCCTGATTCATGATTCTCTTTTCTTTATGTAAGAGAGAGATTATATACTTAAAGTCTCACAAATATTCAGCACATATTTGCAGGGATCCAGCTCCAGGAAATACATTTTACAAAATGACACTTCTTAGCACAGCACAAGGGTTTACTTATGCTTTGCATAAGGACGGCCAACAGGAAGCTAATTAATATGCTAAGTGCTCACTTCTATTTATAGACACTGGTCCAAGTTTGGTTTTTGGTTAACATGTACATGGAACTCTGACATGTATTTATCCTCTCTTTTCCACTTTTAATACCTCTTCAAGCAAAGTTCTAAATTTTTTTGGCTTACATTTTTATGATATTGGACGCATACAGGGTACTTATTTCAGCCTTTTGTATATGTTTCTTTACCTGATCATTGAGGGAGAAGTAAAAATGATTTCCAGTGGTATTTCTAAGTGATAAAAATCTACAGGCACAGAATTGTTGCTTGTCTTGACTAACACGATGTTTTATACGATCTAAATTTTGCAAGTATTGGTTTCTGACCCCTCTATCAGCATTAGCATTGACTTTTGAGAGTTAACGGCAAATGCTGTAGACAATTCAACATCTTCCTTGCACTCAGGCAATTGCAAACATATCTTTATTAGGAGTTGGGCAAAAAGATCTCTGTGTTTCTTAAAACCATTCCCTTTAAATTATTTCTAGTAGAGATTGGATTTGAGATCTGCCTCTGACTTGCTAAGGATTATTTATGATTTATTTCAACCTTTAGCTGGCTCTAGGGGGGAAAAATGAACAAAGTTGAAACTAAAAGGAGAAGAAGCTTAATCCTTAGTAAAATTCCAGTGGCATGGAACACCCTGACTCTTATGATGGGTGCATTTTTAAATTTTTTATATGTTTATTTTTTCTCAAAAATAAAATTAAACTCATTTATCATTTTTAATTAGAGAACAAGTATCATCATTTTTTAAAGAGAACAAATTTCAAGCTGTGAGTCTTTTAAGGTAGACTGGTCCTCTGAGACTTTTCTGAAGCACTATGGGGAAATTTTAAACCCAGTCAAATATTTTTCTTAGGAAAAGTGGTGATAGGTCATGGTGAAATACGGGTGTCATTAAATTTTCATAGAGGTTCTTAACACACCAGAGTCACCATAACATGGACACATTGACTATAATATCTCCAAACAAGCATTTGCTTGTCTGCCATGGCTCTGAAGGGAGCTGTTACAGTCCGTCAATGAAGTAATCTGCATGTTAAAAAGTCCCTAAATATGTATTTACAAGATAGTCAGATCTGTTTTGGTCCGTTGGGTTAATAATCCATGTGCTAAGTCTGTATATATGTACTCACAAGATATACAGATGAGCTTTGGTTCACTGAGTCAATAGTAAGTAGGTCTTTAAAAAGGCGCCTAAATAGCTGCATAGTTTGTATTTCAGCAAGTTCAGAAATGCAGTCTGTATACTATAAGCTATTTCTTTTAAAGTGCGGATGTATTGTTCTTTTTCCAGAGGATGCCAAAAGGTGTGCTTCACTCTAACCTGTAATATTTTGCCCTTAAAATCTCAGAAGAAAATTGCCATAGCACAAACTATATTAAAGCTCTGAGGCATAGCCCTCCAGGCTGGGGTGGATGCTGCCCTAGATTATGTCATACATATTCCATTCGCTATCACTGTTCAGGTCAACTCCCTGTCAGCTGACTTTGCTTCCTTCCTGTCAGTCTCAGTCCAGCAGCTAGAGTAATCCTGTATGGCCTTCCTATGTTCCAGCAACTTCCCATTTCAGAGTCAAAGCAACTTCCTATACCACGGTCAAAGCCAAAGGCTCCTCAAGATATGCCCTCCTTTCTCAGAATTCACCCCTTCCACTCTCTTACTGGCCTCTTTGTTACTCCTCGTACACTCCAGCATGCTTCTGCTTCAGGTCCTTTGCACCTGCCCTTCCTTCTTTCTGAAAATCTCCTTTCATATGGCTAGATCTCTTATATTCTTTAGTTCTGTTATGAGAGAAGTCTTCCATGACCACTCTGTATAAGAGAGCAACATCCGGTAACACCACTCTTATTATTCTCCATTAGTACTTCTCACCATTGAAAAGAATATGTCTTTACTTGTTTGTTTATTGTTGACCTCCTTCTCCTAGAAGCTCCTTCCACTGGGGCAGGAGCCTCCTAATTCCATGCTTAGATAACTGCCTGGTACATTTTAAGTCCTCATTAAATATTTATGGTACAAATGAACGAAAGCAGATGCAAAAGGAGTCTTCTTTCTGCTTCCTTGATTTCCTAGTTGTGCTCATGTTTAGGTTGAAGAGGAATGCGTATCTCTTTCGGAGCTGAAGCCGCCTTCTTGGCCATTAAACCTCAGTTTCCTGTAATATTCTCTCAGTGGCACAAAACTGGTACTTCCTTAAGGTGCTCATCCATCCTGTTCCTAGAGCTATAGGGCTCTGATGAAGCTCCTAGAGGAGCTAGGGTCATCTCAGCTGGTCACAGAAACATCAAATCAGTCTGCTTCTAGGTGCAACAGTAAAAGTGCAACACATAGACAGAAGTAGCATTTCTAAATGTCTTCACTGAATGAGCCTAATGGTGTCCACCATAGGCTCCAATGATAGCAGTGGACTGACTGACTAGATTTTGCAGTTTAATCTGATGCAGCCACAAGGGATGGCATGTGCCACTCTATGTGTGTGTCACATAACGGTAACAGACTGAGGAGTGCTGGGCAGAACCACTATTCTCTCTTGAATCTGGTAAATTTCTCTGGAGGTATTATCCCATGCCTCCACTCCCACCTTTAACCATGCATGTTGTTCTCAAATGCATCCTTTCTAAAGATTGAAAACTGTCATAGCAACTCCTTCCTTATTTGAATTTCACAGGAGCATTCTTTATTTCAATCACTCAGAAAGGGGGCTTTGGCAACGGAATCACAGCTGACAGCAAATTAATGACTATGATGCTGTGATTAGTTGAGATTACAGGCTACAGAAAGCTTGTCTGAGAATTCACCACTGACATCATCCTGATGCTGGCTTCTGCTGGGGATTAATATTGGCCAAAAAAGAGGATGTGGTTCAGCTACAGTAAGCTCCATATAAATGTAAAGAAATCTGTCTGTACTGTAATATTTCAATGACATGCTTATTAATTAAAAGGGCTTTTACTGTTAACTTGCTTAGCCTAAACAATCTTCCTCCTATGCCCTCTCTCAGCACACTGACTTACTTTAATAAAGCTATAAGATATCCAAATAAAAAGTTGAAGTGATCTAGATAATTCCAGTCCCCAAACCCAAAATATTCATTAACTAAAAGGAAAACATAAGAATCTTGAATTATTTGGATAAGTCACTCAATTTTATAATTTATTTTACATGAATAGACAAAGCAATGGATATTGTAATGCATGCCAGGGTCTGAGTAGATTTAGAAAATAAAACTTTTCAATCAACTTAATAAAGAGGAGATAAAAACTTAACATGAACAACACAAGAATGACAAAACCATCTATTCAGTTACCTGGTGTCATTTCACATCCTTCTAAGTTTTGGCTGCAAAGAAATAATGATTTCTGTAATCCCCAGGAATGACTTTTGTGGGGAGAAGGTTTCAAACAAATGTCTATTTGCTTTAGATGAGCTACCTTATTTGATTTCAGATCCTCCTAAGGGAAGAGATTTCAGGATTTCCTGGTTGTAAAGTCGAAGAGAACACTTAGCTGAACTTGTATGACATCACCTGAAGCATTAAAAAGGCAGGTGATCATGAGTTCTCTGCCTGTTTACCAAAGCTTCTTTACTTCCTCAATCTATTTTATTTTTAAATGTCAGAGTAGTCTGAAATCTTTCAAAGATACACAGGCTGCAGAAGCAGAGGAAATATTAGGATACATTATTTAACTTTTGTGAGAGCTTTAAAATAATTAATGAATGGACTTTTGAATTGTTATATATCACAGTACAGATATTCTAACATTAGACCATGTGAAGAATAAATATAGTTTAACAACAAAGGGCATGAGGCCATCTCTATTTCTAGGAAGTCTGTGAAATGGCTCTTTAGAGTACATACCAGAGGCACAAAGAGAATATTGCATTTCCAAAGAATACAATATAATAAAATTTGGTTTATCAATGAAAATTAGAATATTATACAACAAATGAAAACAGTAAACACAATTTTTGTTTTAAATACATTTTTCAAAGTCTACTTGGAAATCCACATATATTATAGAACAAATTTTTAAAATGTAGTGGTTGTAATATTATTTATTAAAAAGCAACAAAATAAGAGCAAATTATATTTAAGCTTATACTATAAAGATATTTTCCAATATGCATAAAACACTGGAGACACATAGCTAGAACAAATAGTATTTGAAAGATCTTACTCTAGATATGTAATAGACAAGACATTTCTCACTGTAATAAATTAATTTCTTTGTTATACAAAACCCCTCAACCATAACTTCATGAAGAAATGTGAAGTGGTGTGAAAATGATCTTACCTCATATTCAAAATCTTCTGTTCTGTCTGCATCAGCAGGCAAGCTGGAAATATACTCATTGTCCTCATAAAATTCATGCTCTATTGGATGCAGAGAATGGCAGCTATGGGGAATATAGCAATATGAAAGGCATAGATTAAAAGGGTTGTTTTCAAGATTAAAACTGATTTTAGAATTTCACTTTAGTTTACTCTGCTTTGGAATAAGACCTGTAGTGATCTAGCCTTTAAACAAACTACAGCTCAGAAAAAGCAATCGCTTTCCTTTCTCCCTCTATGGGAAGTCCATTGGTTTGCAATTTCTGTGGAATAAGGGCCTGTGGTCAGAGTTGTATTCTGTGGAGAGACTGATGTGAAATCTCTGACAGTCCATGATGCTTTATTGATACTTTCTGGCCTGCTTCCATTCCACCGAATGTGACAAGCTCGACACGTGAGTGTGTGGCATTTGAGATTGCAGTCTACTCAAAAAGGGGTATTTGTCATAAAGCACTAACAATTTCGTAATTCACAGCTGCAAACTATTTTTTGAAAACCATTTTCAAAAGCACATATTTTTCAGACTCTAAAATGTGCTCACATTGTACCCTCCCCTCTTTCTTAAGATCCCCCTTTCTCACTCTCCCTCATAATGCACATTTTCTCCTCTTTGATCAAGGACATATACACAAGTATTAAAGAGCATTTATGGCGATCAATCAGTGGAAACTCCTATAAGCCGAAAGGTTTCATAATACCTTTGGAAAATTCTTAGTGACGGAGAGAGCAGATTACATTAAGGAAATGAGGGGATATGGGGTGTTGCACGTGGCTTTTATGTATTTCAACTTTTAGGAAATATTTTAAATAGTTTGTAAACATGTTATTCAATTTATTATGTTCTGATATAAAGACCACACATCGTATCATATGAAAACTAAGAATAGTTTAACAGCAAAGGGCATAAGGTCTTTTCTATTTCTAAAGACACTGAAAAAGCCTAAATATAATTGACTAGTTGGTTGCGGATGAGACCTCTAAGCCTTGACAGTGTGGACCTTATTGAAAAATTGGAGACAGCAGTATCAATTAGTTCTCTTCTCCCTTGCTGAAAGGCAAGAGACCCATCCTCATGCTCTCATACGACGGTCAGCATAAATATTCTATCAGCCTCTCCTCACTACTATCTATGGCTGTCAGCTCCACACAGGTCTAACTAGTGTAGGACAGAATGGTAAAGTAATAGAGGCAGCACCTTGCCTTGTGTCTGCCAGATAAATCTCCTTGCTTGAAGCTGAACTGGGTCCACATAGCCCATTTGGGATGTTGGAACACTGAAGTTTGCTGCTTTGGACATCTGATGTGTTTCCCTTGTCTTTCAGATAGTAAGACGGGAGCCCTGCTGTGAGGAAGACTTTATTCATTCAACGTTTATTCAGTGGCTACCAGATGCCAGGCCAAGTGCTGGAAATATGTTGGTGTACAAAATCCAGTTCTGCCCTATTAATTGGGGAAAGCAGCAAAGTGGGAATTTTAATACAGTGCAATAATTAAGGGAAAAATATAGAACCTTGGGAGCACATGGTAGGGGGTGGACCCACTGCAGCCCTAGGAGGTTTTCTAGAAGAGGTTGTCTCTAAGCTAAGGTCTGCAGCACCTAGGAAGAGCAGCAAGATGCACTGGCTAAGGAAGTAGGCATTGGGGTCAGACCTCTTAGGCCTAGAAGCCTGGCCCTGTTACTTTTTTGCTATGTAATCTTGGCCATGTTACTTAATATCTGTTCCCTCATCTTAGACATAGGATGTTGATAATATAATGCACTCCATCATGAGATTATTGTGAGAACTAAATGAGTCGATAAATGCAAAACATTTGGAATAATACTGAAAGCATGTTAAGTTAGCTAATACAAGCTAGCTATTATTATTCATTCAAGGAAGTATTGAATGGCTACTATGTTTTAGGCGGTATTAATGAATAATATATATTTGTTTCCTTGCTTTTTGTTCAACTACCCCTGTACAATATAAACTGTAGAAGGCAATGACTTTATTTTTGTTCAAAGTTTTATGCCCAGCATCTAGTTCCAATGCCTGACACATACGATTTGTGTCTGACACAAAGGGCTATTTAAAAGGTAACGGATGAATGAATAAAGAGATACCCAAGACAAACAAATCCCCTACCCTCCTGGAACTTGAAGTCTCAAGGAGTGTTTTCAAAACTTGGATGCACATTAGGATTGCCTAGGGAGATTTTTGAAAAATTCCGATGCCTAAGCCTTACTCTAAGAATTCTCATTCAATTGGCCTAAGGGGTGATTCAGGTATTGATACAGCTTCTAAAAGTTCCCAGGTGATTCTACTGTACATCTGTGACCCACTGAAACAGGCTTATGGGAGCCAGCCATCAAAGGGCAGGAAAGTGGCATGAATCAGATCTATGTTTTACAAAGTAGACAGCAGATTGGAGTAGGTGATGAAAATGCAGGCTAAGGAGACTATTGCTCTTACAAACTCTCAATGTTTGAATATTTGCTAGAAAGCTCACAGAACACAATGAATTGGACAAGCATACTTCTAAAACTGTTCAAGTAGGATTATTTGAATAAAATCTCTCTGACTTCCTTTAAATTGGGCAAACATCTGTAGGAAGTATTCCTTGAATAGATCTTTATTTGATAGCACTATATTTACTTTCTGACAGCCAAAATCCTTTGTTTATATCTCAATATGTTGGGTAATTGCTTTCTTCAGAGAGTTGCACTTTAATTAAATTAATTTCCTAGCTTCTCTTTAAAGAAGAGAAATGCAAGGAAGAGAGAGAGGTGGCCCACGGAGGAGAATGTGGAGCCAACATGCCACTTCCACATGAGTCTTAATAAGGTTTTTGGCAGCTTTGGTGAGAAAAGTGATTTCCCTGACCAGTGTTCATGAGTAGCATGAGGCTTTTGACAGCTAGTAATATGAAGATGAACTAATCAGAGCCAGAATTTTTCATAGCAGCTAGCAAGTATGATTACCCAGGTGAAGCAACCATGTGGGTTAGGGAGAGTAGCTAGCAGGGACCACTGAGAACTAATTGCACATATCTAAACAGGGGAGACATTTTCCAAACAGAGCTGGGAAGCCTGTCTCCATAACTGTCAACCTGCTAGGGGAGCTGCTTCTTTCCAACATCTGCTTTATGTGACAAATGGAAACAAAGAGGGCTTTGGAAGAAATGACAGAAAAATACCTGTCTGAGAGCAGGAATGGACAGATGTCTGGCACTGGAGGGGTAGGTGGCCGAAGCTTGGCCAGGGCCATGATGTGTTCGAAGGTGATGTCCGTCTGAGTGCTGGCATTCATGAGTTGCACTTCTGGAGCCATCCCATAGGCCGGTCTACTAAGAGGTGTTCGCCTTAACACCTGCACCACAATGGGCTCCTTGGCATTGCGAAAGGCTTCCACTGCCTCTTCGTGGGTGGCCTTCGAAAGATCCTTCCCATTGACCTACAAACATATGAGGACGTTGTTTATCTCAGAGGAAAGATCAGAGAGGCTGTCGTGATAGATTAATAAAAGGTAGAGAGAAAGGTTTCAACCAGCTCTGACATGAATTTTGTAATGGAATATTTAATCAGATATTAATATTTACTGACGTCTTTACCAACATGACGAAGTACCTGAGATTACAACAACAATTACTTCTGTATCTTTATAAAGTATCTGGAGCTGGTTAACGAGTAAAACAGCAGAACCATTAGTAAAGATTTAAAAATTTAAATCACACATCTGCTTCAGAAAAGGGTCACCGAAGTCTTCGGATGGAGGAAATGTTAAGTATGTCATACTTTTTCATGATTTATCAATGTCTCTGTGAGATTTTCAATATTTAATCAAGGTCTTAGTTGCCTAAGATCTAATTTTTTAAGGTATTGTCAAATTTCCTCCATATTCATAATGTTTTAATCCAAGACCATGTGATTGCCCACGTGCATTTTATCCTAAATCCTCACTGTTTGAAATGTGGTCTGTGAACCAGCAGCATCAGCATCATATGAGAGATGATTAGAAATATAGAATCCCTGGCCCTACCCTGGACCTACTGAATCAGAATTGGCATACTCACAAGATTCTGACTTTATATTTATATTCCTGAAAGAATCACTGCTCTAAAAATCCTCTGAATGAATATATTATGTCCCCACTGGTTACTCGTTTTAATTCATACCAATTCATGACTCTCCACGGTAGCTCTAGACATTACAGAGAAAGAGGTGAAGTCTGCCTTTGTCCTCACTTCTTGCTTCTCAACAGGGGCACAAACCATTGTCATTTGGGAGAGAAAAATTATTCTTTTTGTGGGACTCTCCTATGCCAGCTTACCAAGGGCCAGGAATGTTTCCCAGCCTTTGTGGCTGTCAAAACACCTACACACTTTCCCTAATAACCTTGTGGTAGGCAATACAGACCATGCTCAAATAGTTGTCAATTTAATCCCCTAAAATGAGTCCTGATAACACAGCCTTTTAGTGGAAGTTGTGTTTTAATAAAGGACTCTAGAATCCTGAAAGAGTTTTATGACTCTCGCCCCAGATGAATCAATAATGCTGTTTTTTGCAGATATGAAGAGCTATCTAGTGGCACAATACCGTGCCCAATATCCCTGAAATTATACCATTTCCAGACAGCAAACTAAGCCACCCGCCTGTTGGTGAGGCACCGATAACTGTCACGCACCAGCAAACCCTTAGAGATCCCTGGGTGCCTAAAAAGGAAGCAAAAGAAGTCACTGAGTTGCAGCTGTAGAGAAACTGCTGACATTCAAATGAGCACATTCTCTCTCCCTGAGTAGACAAGGAATATGTGTGTGCTCAGAGCAAGTGTGGGGCGTTTTGGGGTAAATGATACAATGGCAGGTAGAAATCATCACGTCATGTAGAGACAGGCTTAATGACCTGGAGGAGCTAATTTACTCAATGGACCCTGAAAGAGTTAATGTGCCTTCAAAAAATGAGCAATTAAGCTTCTTCAACAGCAAAATATGTCCCAATTCAGTTCTTGCTCTTGAATCACTAGTAAGACAGCCCAGGTGGAGATCTGACTGGGTGTTTCCCAGTGTGAACACATTCACTAATCTGTGTATTCACTGTTTGATACTCTTTTCCATGAACTAAACTTGAAAAATTATTGCTGAGTTTTCATTGATACACCTTGGAATACCTGACTTGGGGCACATGAGGGTATGTGGACATGAGACACCTATGGACATGATCACACTCATTCCTTTAGCTCCTGCTGTATGACAGGTGCTTGGGCCGGGGCCACTACTGCCTCCCCTGAGGACATGTAGACAGCAGATGATAGAAGAAATCCCAGAATGAAAAAGCACAACATAAAATCTAGCCCCTCTCACTGAATAGTATCATCCCCTGTGTTTCATATTGTGGTCAGTATTTATAAATTCCAGATTGTGGAAGATAATCAAGTGGTAGGTAAAACTGCTCTGTGAGAATTGATGCAGTAGGTAAAAATTGCTCTTTTGTCCCCAGCCTTCCTACTTCATGATGTACCCTCAGTTTAGTGAAGATCTGTTCCTGCAGGATCCTACACCCTTCCCTCTGTGAAAAGAAATCTCAGTCACACAGTCTGTTATCAACTATTTATTTATTTATTGAGATAGAGTCTCGCCCTGTTGCCCAGGCTGGAGTATAGTGGCGTGATCTCAGCTCACCACAACTTCCCCTCCTATGTTCAAGGGATTCTCCTGTCTCAGCTTCCCAAATAGCTGGGATTACAGGCACGCACCACCATGCCAGGCTAATTTTTGTATTTTTAGTAGAGATGGGGTTTCTCTATGTTGGCCAGGATGGTCTCTAACTCCTGACCTCGTGATCTACCTGCCTTGGCCTCCCAAAGTGCTGGGATTGCAGGCATAAGCCACCACCCCTGGCCTTATCAACTATTTAATATATCTACTGGAACGGTGTCAACATGTTATCTTTTCCTATAAGCCCTGTATCAAGAGGAAACCCTAATAGTGGTAGAGGGAAATAAGACTACTTTTTTGAGGGACCTTTATGCAGTATCTGAAGGTAAAGGGAAAAGCTTGTGACCAGGGTTTCTTCCAGTTATACATTAAATTCTACTAATGCACAAAGTGTGTCAATAGGTAGTAGATAGATAAATGCCATTCATCTATTTTTTTCCCCAAGACAAGACAAGGCTCATTTTTCCTCAGCCTTACATGTTAATCTAGTCCTGGTGTTCAGAATATTTATTTGCTTTAGTGATCTTCAAAGCAACAGCTATTTTAAAAATGTAAGATTCCTACTGATAATGATTATTTACCTGTGTTACGGTAAGCTAAGTAGGATTGCTTTTGCAAAATCCAGAAGATTATAGTTTTTTGTGGAAATATAAAATTTATTGAAAGGTATTTTAGGTTGTGAAATCATTATTGTAATGCTTAGTATATGCAAACAATATTAGCGTTCATGTGTCAAGATCAATGGCTATTGATTATATGACTTATACACTCATTTATTTATTATCATGAAATTTATATGCAAATTTCATTCTTTTCTCTAAGAACAATCAAATACAATCTTAAAAGGACAGTCAATGTAATCTCAAGATCTTACTTCCCTATTGGAGAATGCTCTTTTCTTCTAGTTATCATGCAGCTGACCTCTATTTTCATAAGCTATTTAATATCTCTCAAAGTAAAGAAGTCTATGACCTTTAAAGGCTCTACTGTTACACATGATCCCTTAGAAAATGCAAGCATTGATAATACTAAATACTTTTTTTCACTTCACTTGAAGTTCATCAACATACTGTTAGCCTACCAAAAGGTCACCATTTTATATATTATGCCTTTCACAAGAAAAGAAAAGAATCGCTTAATTGGGATTTTCTGGCAATTGCTCTGCTCAGTTATCATCAGTTGCAGCTAGAGAGAAGAATTATATGGGAAGAATATCTACAGTTTTCTAGGAGAAGTTTGTGAACAACAGCAAAACTTCCTTTTTTTCAAGTGATTTGTTTTTAAACCAATAACAGATATTTGGTACTTCATATTGCCATATTGCCAGATCCTTACGTATTATTCTATTTCTTTACCACTATATTTTCACCCTTCATTCCACCTTCCTTTTTTTCCTCTTCCCTCTTACTCGTTTGTCTCAATCTTAAATTTAGTTTTGTATGGATGACATAAAGTTTTAAATTGTTTTGTGAGATGAGACTAAAGATGAAGAAACTATCCACTAAAGGAGTCCCATTTAAAATAGGTAGTTAAGGGTAGACACCCAATATTTTTGGGTGTCCAGTAAAAGGTGGGAAGATCTTTTGTGAGAGGAATACAGATGAGTTGATTTTCAGGAGAAAGAAAAACCACATGAATATGGTTAGGAGCAAAACTGAGGAAAACAAAACCCATGTGTTACGGAGTTTGAGTTTGCATGCAGAAGGATTTTAGGAAAGATCGCAATTTGAGTTAAGCATACCATAAGAAAAGAGCCTTTTTCCAAAAGGGTTGTTAAATCGAATGATTGAGAGGATAGGGTGTCATAACGAACAGCAGTAGTATATGCAATAATTTCCTCTATTGCCATAACTTCTGGCATTTTGATAGCTGTGGCCCAGACTGATTTGGTTCCATTGTAACCAGGCAACTAGTGTACAACTAAAAAGATTCGTGCGATTGATATTTGATAAGAGGCTAGTAGTACCAGGGTGGGAAGACTGGACTCTGAAATGATGATTTAGCCACCGGACTTGAGATAAATAAAAAAGCAAACACATTATGCAACAAGGGGTTTTCAAAATTGGCAACAACAAAAAAAGAGGAAAGGACGATGCCAATGAGAGAAATTCTAGGATAAATAGTGACATGTGGTTGTCCCGAGACAAACTAAAATGTAGGATTAGATAAAAGTGGAGAGAGTAGTCTTAATCATTCTTAATCATATGAAACTTGAATCAATTATAAGATATATATTCAAATGAATTAACAAGTAAACATATGATAGGAAACTGGAAGAAAAATTGATCATAGGAAACCATTTTCTGAGGTCTTCCCCTTCTCCCTGCACTTACCAATTCAGATCAGCACAAATATCCTTAAAGATTAGATAATTCAAGTGATGGCTTGTATTACACACATATAAATTTTTAGAGATACAAAATAATTATCTTGTTTCTAAAAAGTTATTATTTCTCATTATATTGATAGCATAATCTTAACTGGATAAAGAAAAAGCAATCACTTTTCAGTGATCAATGCAAAAGATGTGCGAATACATTTCTTGTGGAAGATGGGCTAATTAATCCATAAGCAACTTGTGAATGTTAAGTAAAGAAGAGAGCTTTTCATATGTAAACCATATCATAGTAATGTTTGATGAAGCCTCTGTTTAATGAATAATCTACCCTTTTGGATATCTGGGCCTTTTGCAAAATCTGGGCCATTCTTCAATAACTTCCCCAGAGTGACTAGTGGTCTC